AGTCCATGTTTTGTCAGTCCAGTCCAGTCAACCTCTTACAACATGCCGAGAGTTCAACAAAAGTGATTTTTAAGAGCCATGACCTTTCTTCCTTCATCAGTAAGACAGTACATTTTGGTTTACAAAACCTGCAGAGGTATATTTTTGGGGAACGAGGAATTCATTTTGACCCAGAATTTTTATAATCATAATGAAATTTCTACTAAATAACTAGTTGTGATCTGAGAAAATTTCCAAAAAAGAAAATTTGTTTTTTCCTCATCTTCTTACTACSGGAAAAGTTTCAATTTGGAAATCGGGCAAGACTGCCATCAATCAAATAAATTGTTCAGTACCTTATCTGATTGACGGCAGTGTACAGCATTGCCCCATTTCCATGTCATGAATGTTGTCTTGGCCAGCTCATAGCAGTGCAATGGAATGTCAACCTCTTTATTTTTACGAAATGTGTTTTCTTGTTAACTTGATAGCTTAAAGGGAGGGTCATGAAATTCTTACTGAATAAAAGGAGGAGGGCTACGACCTTTTTTGCTTTGTCATTATTCTTTTTACATCTTTACTGCGATTCTAAGTCACACGCGACCAACTAGATCTTCATTACAGACGAAAGATTGAGTTTTGGTGGACATCCATCGAAAAGGTTTCTATCATTCCTATTGGTTTCTACACTGACCCACGTGAACACCTGCAAACCTGTTGCTCTTATCTCATGCTTCTTGTCGCTGCAAATTTCTTGCTCTGGATAACTTTTCTCAAAAATTACACAGCATATCGGCTCCGAATTTCGAAGCTTGATTTGTAAAGTTATTTGAATTTCGGAGTCGATATCCAAAGATATCCAAAAGAAACCCCCTTTGATTGACGTCCAAGAAAACTCAACTTTTCATTTGTGATTTAGGTCTCGGTTGTACAAAGCCTGGATAGCGCTATCCAATGGATAAATCTTATCCAGTATTTAATTTAATTGGATAACGGCATCGACTCATCGACTGGATAAGGATTTATCCGCCGGATAGAGCTATCCAGGCTTAGTACAACCGGGCCCAGGTGTATTGAAATAACTCTATATATTGAAAATATCATTTTACTGGATATGATTTTTTAGCAAGATAAGCCGCAACAAGAAAAGGGTTTAAGACGTCTGAGTATGCTCTTTGGTGGTAGCAAATCTGCAAAGGTACTATATTATTATTGATTGTTGCATTTCATTTTCTCTTACTTAATTTTTCTATCCTGCTAGCATAGTCTGCTCCTCAACTTGAGTGGGGTGGGTTTTTCCTTTTCTGTAAGTGGTAGAAGTGATCAACTGTACTTTTAGGGTTAAAAATGTTTACTTTGTCATCTTTTTAGGGGTTCAAACTCATAAATCCTCTAGTTAGCCCTAGGGACTTATTTATTTCAGGCACGTTTGAAGGRGAGCTCATTGGGTAGGAGGGACATAATTTACGGTGGGGGGCTTATGGATTTAGAGAAATGCAGTGCAATGTATTCTATCAGGATATAATATTTTACATTAATGTCTTATCGCRAGGGAAATAGTTAGTGTTGTTTTCCCGAGAGTCTCGATGTTTCACGAGGCGAAGCCGAATATTGAGAAGTCAGTTTACGAAGTAAGAACTTTATTTAGCAAGCTAAATGTATGAAAACTGASAAATGATTTTACAAATACAACTCATATACGGTCTTATATTTCTCTACCAAAAAGAGAGGAGAGTAGCAACAGCATTTTTGGTCGCTTTTTTCGCATTTTACGAATCCTTTTTCTCAATGAAAGTCTGTAATTGCTCTGTAGAAACACTGGAAAATCTCTGTTGTTTTGCTTGGAAAATCAGGCCCTGGGCCCCCCCAGTAATTTCACAACTTTTTTTCTTAAGTAAACGTCGAGCTAAATTTCAAACACTATTATCTTAAAATTGATAGAGGCGACTCATTTTTCCCAAAAAAGTTCACATAGTTGGCATTTGTAAATGATGAAAACTCAAAACAAGACATGCGGAAAAGCACATACTTGAAAGAAACCATTCAAATACTTCATATAATTTGCATTTAGGCCCTGGCTAAACGAGGAAACGAGTTTCCAAAAACATGTTTCCCGCGCGCATGTTCCCCGATTCCAAGTTAAGYCATATGCGAAACAATTGCTGCGTGCAACAAATTTTGCTTCCAAGACGCAAATGACGCATGCTGTGCGGCAGAAACATGTCATGCTTCCAAGACGCATGAAAACAATGTTTCCCGATGTTTCCTGACAGTTTTGCCACCTTTGGGAACAATTTTGGGAACATGTTTCCTCGTTTAGCCAGGGCCTTAGAAATTCGTGTCTGAGATTGTCGATTTCATTCTCGGCTTCTTTTATAAATCAACTCAGACTTATTAAAGGTAACTGGTTCTTTTTTTATGTCGAAACGTTCTATCAATTTATTTAGACTAAAGTTTAACTAACGTCCAAGCCTTGCATCGCRACGCACTAGTTTGCGAAAGAGAAGAAAGGAGACATTGGTTTTGGAATAATTTTGGCGACGCTAGTGGCAAGTTTAATAACCAATAATCCTATATAATAATCGCACAAAATACCAAAATCCAAAGAAGCTATGTCTTCGGTAAAAGTGGGGCGAGAATAAACACGTCAYACCTAGAATAACTAAATACGATAATCCAACAGGTAGGCCGCAGGGGTGGAGGTGGGATAATTTTATAGTGAACTTAATCGACTGCGAGAATAATAGGAAAGAGGCCTCGTGGTAGTAAGACGCACCTTAATCACTGCTACGTAATATCAGTAATCATATCCTATTGGTCGACTTAAGATATGCGGATTCATCTAGTTGGATTACCGAATCTAACAACAGTATAATGTGTCAACATAAATGTCATTATGCTGTCAGCATAATGTTCTTTTTATTTAAAGTCAGCTGTGTGCTTCATATACATATGTTGAATTTCTATTTTTTGCTTGTACATATGCACTGACGTTATATTATATTGAATAGATATTAGCATGTTCGATGCTGAAGGTCTTTTGCCCATAAAATATAGAATTTTAATTATTAATTATGCTGTTTTGTAAATTTGATAAAAGTTGATACGGTCATATGGGGCGTGGCAAAACCAGCCCCCCCAATAATTTTACCCCTGCTACGGGCCTGAAAATTCAAGCAAAAATATCTGCTCCCGCTTTGTAATTGGTGCAAAATATCACGCCACCAACATCTTTCACGTTCTGATCACGTACACTTGTTTATTTTCACGATTATTGTCACGTGCAATTTATTTCCCGACCGGGAAATAAGTAACTTATTTCCCAGTCGGGACACATTTAGACTTTAGCTAGTGTCACGTGGTCATCTTTTAACCAATGAGAGTGTTCGTTATATCGGAAAATTTCGTAGCTATTTAACAAAATAACTTTATTTAAATGCATGGACAACTGAGGAATAAACTAAAGAATTACAATTATTATAGGATTTTTCCCTATAATATAGTTTTTATTTTGGAACTGAATTTCCAAGACGTAAATAGATCATAGTACTTTAATCAGTGCACTGCACAAGCAGTTGTTACATTTCTTTGGTTGTCAAATGTTAGTTTATTTTCTTCATCGAACAAACATGAAACACAGAAGAAAGATGTGTCAGGTCTTGCAAAATCTTTTCTCGGATATTCTTAGGCACCTCTTGAATATACTAGATCTTATTAAGATCTTGGAGGGTTTAGGGAAAGATGTCAGTTCCATGATTTTCTTTCCTTAACCTGAGTTCTGAAGATAATTCCCTTGAAAGAAATTTTGCCAATAACTTTGTCCTGAAACTTTGCATGCACATTAATTATGTTATGGACATTTAAAAACTGCAATAAAAAGATAGGGTCACCATTCTCGATTTTTCGCTAGATGCTCTCCAAATATGTCAATTTATGGGTTTTATAGTGAAATGCGGTAGCAACCGTGAGCTGTAATCAAAAACTTTTATTCACAGTTAAAAGTACTTTCATATAACAAAACGTACTTATTTCTTGAAGTTTACTAGATAATCTATATTATTAAATCCATCAAAGTCATTGGATGTCTATGATTCTTGAACTGTTAGTGAAAAATGCAGGTATGTGCGCCTCTACGAACGTCCAAAAATTGCTCATGTCAACTATTCCCATCAAAATATTTTAAATTCTATCAATAAACTGGCCTTCATATTTTGATATATAATGACGAGCTTCGCATTTATGAAAAATCTGAAATAAAAAATGGGGGTCACCAGTCTCGTTTTTGATTTATCCTGAAAAAAACCTCGAAATAGTCGAAAACTGACACTTCTCCGAGTCGAATCAGATAAAAATCGCAATTTCTCTACTCAAAAAAGAGAAAAATGTGAAAATTGATTTTGAACATGTTTCTTATTTAGTTTCCGAAAGAAAAATGTATAAACTGTGTTAGCTCCATGCATTTAGTTGCATGCACAGAAAAAKGTGCATTGCAAAATAAGGGAATTACCTTAAGACAGAATGTCAGCAAAAATCGAACATACGCCGGCAACAGTCGAAAAATCGAATTCGCTCATATTTTAGTATTAGGAAGACCTTGATGCGATATAAACCGTGGTATACTTCACTTGCCAAAATATCGCTTTATTTCCGAGAAAAACGAGAAAAACCAATTTTTGCATATTTGACTTTCTGAGGCCCTGTCCACACTATGCCGGGGCTGTTCAATATATCAACCACACACGGTGGGAGTTTTATTTGATTTTTATTATTCTAAAGCGTAAAAATGAGGATTCAAAAATACCCATATGATACCCATATAATCTTTGTCTGTCTGTCAGTCTCTCGATCGATTCAGTTATTCAACACTAACGGTAAGCCTGGGCTACCTGTGAAGGAACATGAACACAAGATAAGTAAACAAGTATAACTTTAATTTAATTCAAATAATCGAAAGGAAAAAAAAACCCTTTAGAAATCCAACCACGTTCGGTGTCCTAGTGCCTTTGCTCAGATGTGCAATGAAGCGTTTTTCTCGCCTCTGATCGTACTAGTGTGGACGCGAAGCATTTTATCCGCTTTCATGTGTGGACGGAGAAATTTTTTTTTCGGTTTCGGTGTGAAAGTTGCGGATTCAAATTTATCCGGCATAGKGTGGACGGGGCCTCTGAGAGAGCCAAGATATCATCCAACTTCGAGGGCCTCGCGTGCCTTGTATGGGCTTCATTGCTGAAAAACATTTTTTAACATTGTCTAGGCTTTAAATCTGTGAATTTATTATTTTCCAATACATTTATGTTGGCGGAAATTTTTTAATTACCAAGTTACTTTAGAAGTTAAAACAATGTTCTAATCATGAGTAAAGTGATTGTTTTGGGTTTTGTTGTTCTGCGACGAGGAATAAAGATTTAAAGTTGGGATAGGTCACGCAAGGTTAAGTAGGATCAAACCCCACTCGAGTCATCTTTATGAAGATGTTAAAAAAGSTTATTATAAGATACTATTAGCTGTATCTATTAGGATAAAAAAAAACTGGTAGGAATTACTTGGGAAGGGAATCAATAATACTTCTCCAGGTTTTTGTGTGTGCTAATTTTAAAAAAGGCATGCCAGGATCTATTCTCCGGCAATGACTTGCATGATCCTTAAAGTGCTACTACGACGAAAAT